GCACACACTGGCCCAGCTAACCAGTCACAGCACACACTGGCCCAGCTAACCCATCACTGCACACACTGACCCAGCTAACCGACCACAGCACATTTCGTATTTCAGAAGACGGGCCTTCATTTGATACAGGAACTATTCGAGCCGTTCATGCCAGACTGGGGAGAGAGGTGTTGTAATAATGTACAAATATGTGAAAAAGAATGTGTTTTTCCAACAACCTAGTATGAGAGCCTGTTCTAGTACAACCCCAAAACAAAATCAAGACTTTGTAAAAGAGCATAATAGGACCCCTTTAATTATTATCAGCTAATCGTCACCGTCAGATTTATATAAAAACAAATTATTTGTACGGTTAGCAGTGAAACAGCAAAGCTTATAGTGAACAAACTAAAACCAAAAAATGGGTGAAACGGAGCTTTTCGAAACTCCGAATCAATTAAACCACTGAGTTGCAAAATGATTCACTGTTTCAAAGCGCTCCAGTTGGATCGCGAATCATTTGATTCAGATCAGAACTTCGGTAGGGGTTCACGAATCATTTGATTCAGATTGGAATTTCCATGGTTTTCTGTATAACCACATTTTTACTACAAATACCATGATTAATTTGTGATTACCATGGTTTAACTATAGAAACCAAGTTTTTTTTTTTTACCATGGTTAATTTTTTAAAGGGGTCCTATTATGCTTTTTCACTTTTTTAATTTTAGTCAGTGTGTAGTGTGTATGTTTGGGCATAAAAAAGATCTAGAAAGTTACAAATCTCAAAGTCCACTCCAAAGGGAGATATTTAGTTTTTAAAAAATCCCTTTTCAAGAACTACAACGAACGGCTCGTTTGGACTACAGCGTTTGTTTTCCGGGCTCATTAGAATATCATTACAAATAATTCCGGCCTACGGAGATTCGAATGGTTGGGGGGTGGGGAGGGGCGAGGTTGTGGTTAGAATGCTTGGTTGAGTGAGATAATAATGTACATTATGTGAAAAATAATGCGTTTTTCGAACCACCAAGCATGAGAGCATTTTCTAGTACACCCCCAAAACAAAATCAAGACTTTGTAAAAGAGCATAATAGGACCCCTTTAAGGGATGTGTTGCCAGGTTAACAAAAAATAAATAAATAAATACATTTCCACCTTAAGAGGACAAATAGGATTAAGAGATGCAGTTTTGACTGCTTTAAGACGAACAGAACTTTAGATAGTTTCCATGCATGAAGTTGTATTTTCCTATATTCTCTTTTTAGTAGTCAAACAATCCAAAGAAAACATCTTTAAAAAATAAAGAAAAGTCACAAAATTAGATCAGATGAACATTAAATAAATGTCTCTGTCTGTTTTATATATATACATATTTAAACTTTGTGTAAGTTATTTGTGTTATATTAAGCCTATATTATGGTGTATTTTTATTTGGTTTGTTTAAAGAGCAGGTCATATGCAGTTTGTAACGTAGCTATCCTTCAATGTAAACAGTCTGCAAAGTTGTTAATCAAAAAAGTGCATGATAAATAAAGATATTGTCTCTCAAAAGAAAGAGTCGACTCTGAACCGTCTTAACGAGTCGTCATATTTTCGAATCTTCTGCCTGTTAACTATATACGTCACAAGGCAACACATTTGCATAATCCCCGCCTGCCCGCCAAATACGAACACTCTGACCTTCCCACAAACACTTCCGCTAGTTAGTGTGTTTACATCAGGTCGAGAAGACACTGTGTTCTTTGCTGTGAAAGCAAGTTTGTTTTATTTTCATTGCCGAAAGTTGATGATGTCAGACTTGGCAAGCTGACCAATCAGAGCAGAGTAGGCTTACGGAAGGGAGGGGTTTACAGACGAATCGTTTCGAAATCATTGAAAAATGATTCTAATATTAAATGTATATTCTGAGAAGATTACAATGTTTTCTGAACTTAGATGCATTGAAACCTGTTGTAGGCGAGTCCAACACAATATTAGGACACTTTAAAATACCATATGACCTGCTCTTTAATGTTCTATGTTTAATATAAGTGAGTTTGTCGTACCGTTTTGTTGTCCATTCAAGCAATTGACGCCGAATTGCCACTAATTCACATGCTTATAATTCAAGAAGTATTGAAGATATTACCATATGATTTCAGATTCTAGCTCTTAATACACTTTTCTGTTTGAATCGTCATTTTCAAGGCTCTGTATCATTCAGTCTCAGAGATATGGGGATCTCAATGTGGCTCCATATTCAGATTGTTGAATATTTTCATTGGTCGAAAACCACATGTTGGTCACTTTGTATACAGCCGATACTTATTGTATTTAACGGGGGATGTCTGAAGAATAATTAATGTTGAAACTAGAAATGCATCTTGTTTCCCTCTATCAAAACAACTGTATAGGACACACCTGTTTGAGTGTCATAAATAGTCTTTTTCCAAAATTAACTATAAACTATACATGTTTATCTTTCTTCAGAAAAAATATTAGCAAAATCAAAAATTTGCAGTTGAGTTGACACAGAATGTGTTTTTATACCTGGAATATCTGCTTGATGGAAAACAGAGCCCGCCTCAGGTCACGGCCATTTGAGTTATACAGCTTTTCTGGAGAGAGAGAAAGACATAGAGAGAGAGAGAGCGGTTATTTAGTGCTGTGTTTCAGGGTGTGTGGAGAACAAACCCCTCCGAATCAATCATCATCCTACAGCAGATCCTTCAGATACACGCCTGATCTTTATTCAAAGTGCTGGGCGAGAGACATTGACACACACACAGAGAGAGAGATAGAGAGAAAGAGAGTGACGGCATGTCAGTCAGATGATAATTAAAGTCACTCGCACTGAAAAATCAACTGTTTTCAGACTGCAGATCTCTTCAGGGCAGAAGAAAACACTGCAGCATTTACAGCAGCATCCAAGAGGAGAAGCAGAGGACGAGAGAGAAGAAATACCAGTCACAAACTGGTTTAGTCTGATCTAGACCAGGTTCAGTGTCCCGTTCACCTTCCCGCCGGCGAGAACATCACGCTCCACTAACATCAGATCAATCTCTGATGAACCGAGTTCATACTCGCTGCTGCTTTATGAAGATCCTCATCAATAACACACACGTGTTTGGATCAAATACAGTTCAGCACAAACACAGAGACACACTTACACTGTAATCACATGATATTATTATCTGTCTGCTACGGAAAAGGAGGCACAGACAGACTCGTACTGTAGTGCTGTTTCTCCATTTAAAAAATCCTTTTCATTAATTCTGTAATAAAATAGAAATATTAAATGAAAAACAGATCCACTTCCTGCTGCCAGTCATTCAAATCTCAGCTTTCATCCAGATCATATTTCCATCTCTAATTAAAGCCCTGCTGTCTCTGACTCACGAGCGTTATTGCCTGCATGACAGCTGTACAGTGAATCTGTGTTTTCATGCCTCACGTGTGTGTGTGCGCGCGTGTGTGTATGTGTGCATGTGTATGTGTGTGTTTGTGTTTATGTGTGTGTGTGTGTGTGTGAGTGTGTGTATGTGTATTTGTGTGTGTGTGTTTCTACTCGTGTAATCCAGCAGGTTTTGCAGTTCTCTGGCCAGATCTTATTTAGATTATCTGTGACCCAACTCGTTAATCTCAGCAGCGTAATCTGGACACAAACACAGATTCCTTCATTCACACACATGCTGCAGTGCACGAGGGGTTCGGAGGGAGACAAAGGACAAACAAAGTCTTTGATTCAGTTTTTAACATTCACAGATTATGAGCTTTGATAAAACGTCTGAAAAATCCCACAGATTTACACCTGAAGGAGGAACCCGAGCACAACCCGAAAATCACAGCCGCAACCGCCTAGCAACCGCATAGCAACATGTAAATTACACTCAGAACACCTTAGCAACTGGATAGCAACACCCTGCAACCATCCACAACACAGGCAAACACAGCTCACATTTGCTTTAAAAATCTATCTTATCATTTAGCAGATGCATAATAATAATAATAATAATAATAATAATAATAATATCATTATTTCAATTTAAAACTTTATAAAATATATCATAAAATAAAAAAACATTATTATTAACATATTTTATGAATAAAAAGCTTATTATTATTATTATTAATAATAATAAATTATTGTCAATTTATAGAGTGCATATCTTAAAGCATTTATAATTGAAATAATAAAATAAAAACTTTACTAATAATAATAAAATAAATAATTATTTCAATTTATAAAGTGCTTATCATTGCAAATCTGAAGAACTTTATAAATAATAATAAAATAAGAAGAAATTATTTAAATTTATAAAGTGCTTATTGCAAATCTTAAAGTGCTTTATAAGCTGAAATAATAAAATAAAAACTTTATTAAATTTTACTTTAATAATAATAATAATCAAATATTATTTCAATTTATAAAGTGCTTAACACAAATCTTAAAGCACTTTATAAATGGAATAAAAATAATAAAATAATAAATAATAAAAAATAATAAATTACGGAATAAATAATAAAATACTTTAAATAAAGTTTTTATTTTATTTATAGCAAAAACTTTAATACTAATAAAAATATACATAATAATAACAATTATTATTATCTTAATTCATGAAGCTCTTATCATTGCAAATCTTAAAAAGCTCAATAAATTAAAACAAACTATTATTATTATTATTATAAATTAATATTATTTACATTTATAAAGCACTTTGCATTGCAAATCATCTGATATCATCACTGTGTGACGGTGTCTCCATCATCCGTTACTGTCAGAGTGAGAGAGTCTGCAGCGGGTCACGTGTGGTTTGACATGTAGGGCGCACTCTTATTTGGGTCGGTCTGAGCCGAACGGCTGCTGTGAACTCGTGTTGGCTCTGCTGGGCTCTGCTTACTCACGGTGCTCATGCTGAAACACTCCAGAACGAAAAAAGTATCTAAAATTACAGAATGAAGCCAGAGGAGCCGCTGACACGAGACCAAACACAGGCTAAAAATACAAGACAAACTTGAACAGTACAGAGTACAGAGTCATGAGAGGCTGAGACTGTACATGTGTGTGTGTGTGTGTGCATTTCAAAACAATCTGTACAATCAGCTTGAAAAAAAAAACAACAAACTGAAAAGCAATGCAGTAAAAACCACTGACAACTCCACATAGCAATACCCTAGCAACCACCTGTAACACTGTAGCAACAGTGAAAACTACTCTTAACAACCGCATGGCAACACTCTAGCAACTACCCACCATGCCCCAAACAAATTGCAATGCAGTAAAAACCACTCTGAAAAAACTAAACCTGCATAGCAACACCCTAGCAACCAACCACAACATTCTAACCAAACAGCAATGTGGTAAAAAGCACTTTGAAATCTCTAACAACCAGATAGCAACCACCCACAAAACTCTAACCAAATAGCAATGCAGTCAAAACTCTTAAAAACCACAAAGCAACACCCTAGCAACTACCCACAAAACTCAAACCAAATGGTGAAGTAAAAACCACTGTGAATTGCTTAACAACCACACAGCAACACCCTAGCAACTGAATAACAATGCAGTAAAAAACATTCTAAAACCCTTAACAACCACACAGCAACACCCTAGAAACTGAATAAAAATGCAGTAAAAAAAACATTATAAAACCCTTAACAACCACACAGCAACACCCTAGCAACCACCCACAAAACTCTAACCAAATAGCAATGTAATGAAAACCACTTTGAAAACCCTAACCCTTGATACCAATGCCCTAGCAACCACCCACAACACTATAGCAGCTGATTAACACTGCAGTAAAAACCACTCTGAAAACCCTTAACAATCACATAGCAACACCCTAGCAACCACCCACAGCACCTTAACCAAACAACAATGCATTAAAAACCACTCTGAAAACCCTTAACAATCACATAGCAACACCCTAGCAACCACCCACAGCACCTTAACCAAACAACAATGCATTAAAAACCACTCTGAAAACCCTTAACAATCACATAGCAACACCCTAGCAACCACCCACAGCACCTTAACCAAACAACAATGCATTAAAAACCACTCTGAAAACCCTTAACAATCACATAGCAACACCCTAGCAACCACCCACAGCACCTTAACCAAACAACAATGCATTAAAAACCACTCTGAAAACCCTTAACAATCACATAGCAACACCCTAGCAACCACCCACAGCACCTTAACCAAACAACAATGCATTAAAAACCACTCTGAAAACCCTTAACAATCACATAGCAACACCCTAGCAACCACCCACAGCACCTTAACCAAAAAGCAATGCATTAAAACCACTCTGAAAACTCTAACAACCGCATAGCAACACCCTAGCAACCACCCACAGCACCTTAACCAAACAACAATGCATTAAAAACCACTCTGAAAACCCTTAACAACCACATAGCTACACCCTAGCAACCACCCACAGCACCTTAACAAACAACAATGCATTAAAAACCACTCTGAAAACCCTTAACAGCCACATAGCAACACCCTAGCAACCACCCACAGCACCTTAACCAAACAACAATGCATTAAAAAAGACTCTGAAAACCCTAACAACCGCATAGCTACACCCTAGCAACCACCCACAGCACCTTAACCAAACAACAATGCATTAAAAAAGACTCTGAAAACCCTAACAACCGCATAGCTACACCCTAGCAACCACCCACAGCACCTTAACCAAACAACAATGCATTAAAAAAGACTCTGAAAACCCTAACAACCGCATAGCTACACCCTAGCAACCACCCACAGCACCTTAACCAAACAACAATGCATTAAAAAAGACTCTGAAAACCCTAACAACCGCATAGCTACACCCTAGCAACCACCCACAGCACCTTAACCAAACAACAATGCATTAAAAAAGACTCTGAAAACCCTAACAACCGCATAGCTACACCCTAGCAACCACCCACAGCACCTTAACCAAACAACAATGCATTAAAAAAGACTCTGAAAACCCTAACAACCGCATAGCTACACCCTAGCAACCACCCACAGCACCTTAACCAAAAAGCAATACATTTAAAACCACTCTGAAAACCCTTAACAATCACATAGCAACACCCTAGCAACCACCCACAACACCTTAACCAAAAAGCAATGCATTTAAAACCACTCTGAAAACCCTTAACAATCACATAGCAACACCCTAGCAACCACCCACAGCACCTTAACCAAACAACAATGCATTAAAAACCACTCTGAAAACCCAAACAACCGCATAGCAACACCCTAGCAACCACCCACAACACCTTAACCAAAAAGCAATGCATTTAAAACCACTCTGAAAACCCTTAACAACCACATAGCAACACCCTAGAAACCAGCCACAGCACCTTAACCTAACAACAATGCATTAAAAACCACTCTGAAAACCCTTAACAACCACATAGCTACACCCTAGCAACCGAAAAAGCAAAGGCAATAAAAACCACTCTGAAACCTTTACTAATTGCATAGCAACTGAGTATTTACACCCTAGCAACCACCCACAAATCTGTGCGTGCAAAAACCACTCACACCATCTTTAAATGTAAAGAGAGATTGAGGGCGACCAGGAATAAAAACGTTCCCTCTGACCTC